AGATATATATATATATATATATTCCCTTTTTATATCTTTTCTAGAGCAAGAAGTTTGATGTAAACAAAATAACTTTCAAGTAATTGAGGTACTTTCTTATATAAGTGTTTCAAATAATAAATAAAGTCCTTAAATTCTTAGACTGGCATGTCCGATTCACAACAGTGCACTCTAAACCTTTGTCTGGTGTTAGTGGTGTTATACCTATTTTTTTTATCTGAAAATTGATTATTTTCTATCTCATCATTTTACACTTTCCCAGTTAGAGATTAGAGTATTAGAGTACAGGGTGGCGTAACATGAACCATAATTAATTAATAAATAGTATGATTTCTATTCGATGTCTCCGTAAAAAGAATAATATGATAAACCCACCAGTGTTGCTGCCCAAATGCACGACAACACCTGCAGGAGGGGGGGGGGGGGAATCTGGTGTTATCTGCATTTTTTCGGGGTTTTTGAGAACTTAGTCTTGTTCTATGAATTTTACAGAGTAATTTATCTTAAAAATTTTATAATAAGGTCAGCCACATTTGACTCAGCATTTAATTGTTATGTATATGACAACCAGTAGTACATTGAAACTCTATAGAGCCTAACGCATTGATTTCACATCCTAGAGTACTATAGTTTCAGTAGAAGTAAATATTTCCATTTACTGATAGCGCCGATTAAAGGATTCATAAATCTAATTGGGTAATGAGATAGATAGAAAGATAGATGTTACCGCCAAACTATTTCTATTGGTTCAGAATAGACAACAACCACATGACTGAACCCTGATTGGATCAGGCGCTAATGGATTCGGCATACAAGAGTGCTAGGAGTAGAAAACAAGAAAAATAATTCTAGAACTAAAATAGTGAATTAAAGCATCTTAAAAATTACTTAAAAGTTAATAAATTCCAGTTTGAAATGTTCGTCCCTGTGCTAGGAAGAAATCTTATATAAAGTCTAATGTTGAGGCCAGCCTAAAATATTTCCCAAGTTTTACCCTGTATGGATCTAGGGTTATCCACAACTGCATACATATCTCACAAGGTTTAGACAGAATACAAATATACAAATACAGAAAACCAGATACAGAGAACCATAGATTAATTAATAATAACAGATAGAACACTAGACGTCGTCTTTTCAAGATTTACGGGTTTTGTTGTTCACAATAACTCTGAGGCAGAAGCCAAAAGGAATTACGCGTATGCTCCAGAGAGAGAGAGCATGTTCTACGCAGTTCGATGCAGAGAACACAAAACATTGATGTAGAAGATTGTAAGATTACTGTCTGAAGCAGATTAGAAGATAAACTGAGAAGAACGCATGAGAAGAAGACGACGTCAAGGGTTCACCTAGAATAGGATCGGGAGATTTAGAGATCCTAAAGTAACCTAGAGAACTGTATATCATGGAGGAGTTAGGGAGAATAACCATACTACATCTTAGGGATAGTTTAGTAGGAGAAGATGGAGGAGAGGTTAAGCTTCTCATTTCAGTAGGTTCAGTAGGTAGGATATCTGTAGAGTTCTTTAGCTGGTTAGAACTAGCATTTTGAAAAACTGGTAGAGAAGACGGAGAAGGTATGGTTTGTCTAGCTAGAGTTAGGTCCATCATAAAGTTAGATATACAGCTCCAAAGAGTCGAATCCAAATCATAAACACAATCAGTTCTGTCAGATCCATCCATCTGAAATAGAATATTTAAAGTTTGTAAAACTTGAATATAGTTGCTAGTACACTGCTGTCCAGATTGGTTGGAGATATTAGTATCTTGTGTGTGATGCCGAGAAAATCAAATATATTCAATAAAAGTCTACAAGCTAGGAAAGGAAAAGTTTACAAGAGAAGAATATATAAAATAAACAGTTTCTAAACCCTACCTGTTGCCCGTTTAAATACCACAGGATTTGTGGTTGAGGAAAGGCGGGGGATGTGGAACAGGATGCGGAGAGTTGAGATCTATCTTGATACTCAGGTTCCAGACCAGAGAGGAAAGGAGTTGACTCAGGTAGTACTAAATATACAGAATAGAAATAAAGGAGTACTAAATATACAGGGAAAGAACTCAAGGAGTACTAAATATACAGGATAGAACTCAAGGAGCACTAAATATACAGGAATAGAACTAAGGGAGTACTAGATAAACAGGATAGAACTCAAGGAGTACTAAATATACAGAATAGAAAATCAAGGAGTACTAAATATACAGGGATAGAACTCAAGGAGTACTAAATTGCAGAATAGAAAATCAAGGAGTACTAAATATACAGGGATAGAAATCAAGGAGTACGAAATATACAGGGATAGAAATCAAGGAGTACTAAATATACAGGGATAGAACTCAAGGAGTAATAAATATACAGGGATAGAAATCAAGGAGTACTATATATACAGGATAGAAATCAAGGAGTACTAAATATGCAGAATAGAAATTAAGGAGTGCTAAATATACAGGATAGAAATAAAGGAGTACTAAATATACAGGAATAGAACTCAAGGAGTACTATATATACAAGGATAGAACTCAAGAAGTACCAAATATACAGGAATAGAACTCAAGGATTACTAAATATACAGGATAGAAATCAAGGAGTACTAAATATACAGGAATAGAACTCAAGGAGTACTAAATATACAGGGATAGAACTAAGGGAGTAATAAATATACAGGGATAGAACTCAGGGAGTACTAAAGATACAGGATAGAACTAAGGGAATATTAAATATACAGGGAGTACTAAATATACAGGGATAGAACTAAGGGAAATCTAAAGATACAGGATAGAACTAAGGGAGTATTAAATATACAGGGAGTACTAAATATACAGGGATAGATGTATTGGAAAATACATGACCGATAAAGATGCCTTCAATATCTTCGGTTAAAATAAAGAAATATGGGTTTAAATATTCAAATGTATTAGGATTGAATAAATTCAGGATGCCAGGGTTATATAGAAGGTTTATCATTTCAAGGTTATATAAGAAGGTTAACCATTCCAAGGTTATATAAGAAGGTTTACCATTTCAAGGTTGCGTAAGAAGGTCTACATTTCCAAGGTTACATAAGAAGGTATACAATTTCAAGGTTATATAAGAAGGTTTAATAATTCAAGTTTTTTTAAGAAGGTTTACTTTTCCAAGATTATATAAGATGGTTTATCATTTGAAGGTTATAAAGAAAGGTTTACCATTCCAAGGTTATATAAAATAGTTTACCACTTCAAGGTTACATAAGAAGGTTTACAATTGCAAGATTATATAAAAAGGTTTACCATTTCAAGGTTATATAAGAAGGTTTACTATTCCAAGGTTATATAAGAAGGATTACTATTCCAAGGTTTTATAAGAAGGTTTACTATTCCAAGGTTTTATAAGAAGGTTTACCAATCCATGGTTATTAAAGAAGGTTTACCAATTCAAGGTTATATAAGGTTTACTATTCCAAGGTTATATGAGAAGGTTTTCTGTTCCAAGATTATATAAGAAGGTTTACCAATCCAAGGTTATATAAGAAGGTTTACTATTCCAAGGTTATATAAGAAGGTTTACTATTCCGAGGTTATATAAGAAGGTTTACTATTCCAAGGTTATATAAGAAGGTTTACTATTCCAAGGTTACATAAGAAGGTTTACTATTACAAGGTTACATAAGAAGGTTTACTATTCCAAGGTTATATAAGAAGGTTTACCAATCCAAGGTTATATAAGAAGGTTTACTATTCCAAGGTTATATAAGAAGGTTTACCTACAATATCCAATTTAGCTCCCATTTCCTGAGTCCTAAATGGAGGACTGCTCTCAGTTACCTTAAAATAAAATTAGAAAATATTAATGAAATCTTTAAACACTCTTGTTTATTATTTATTTAAAATAATCCGTTTTTTGTTATTCGTGAAACAACCAGACTTGTTATACATTTTATTAGAGTTAGTTAAGTTGATTGTTTTCTGCAAATATTTACAATTTTGGAAATATAAAACAGAATTAAAGAACTGGAACACTTGCCACAAATTCTTTGTTATACATCTTTGCAACCTGATGGCGTATTCTAAATTACGGTATCTGTTAGATCAAATAGTACAGGTTTAGAATATCAAAGGATAACACCGTCAGGTTGCAAATATATAGAGATTAAAGAACGAAAGTTTGTGCTGAGTGCACAGTTTCTTTCTCTCTCATTCTCCCCCCCCCCCCCTCCCCCTCCTATGACGTTCTAGTAGTTTAATAATTAATTTCCAGCAGGAGCGTGAACACTGTCAGAATGAATATCCTTCCGCCTCCCCTCAACAACTTTTAAGAATATAAAAACAGTTTAAATTTTAATTACAGATTTTATTATAATATTACATTTCGTAAGAATAATTATCTTTATATTTTCGGGGGGGGGGGGACTAAACCCTAAAACACCTGCGATTTAAAAAATAAGCTTTTTTAAGGCCAACAAACTAAAATTTTCTAATTCCTATATCTTTGCTACCTGATAGTGTAGACCTTTTATATTTTAAACTTAGATTATTTGATCTAACAGAATTCATAGTTTGAAATATCTAAGATTTATGACGTTGGGTTGCAAAGAAATTAGAAAATCAGAGTTTGTGGCACAGACTCAATTCCTTTGTGAAAAATTTGTTAGACCCAGAGCTAACTTCAATGCTGGGTCGGAAGGTTAAATAAAATTCTATATGGCGGAAAATCTTTTAAATTTGAATATATAAGAATAGTGTGAACCCAACCCAATGGGTTCTCAACTTGTATATAGTTATACCATACAGTTCATTGTTCCCATAACATAGAAATAAAGCCAAACAATCTAACCCAAGCACAACAGGATATTGAACCTTTTATATGTTTGTAGCCTGAATGCACTACAGGCTAGACCCACAAGGGTATTGAACCCTTTTTTTATCTGGTAGATATCAAGAGTCCGTTAAAGGGCGGAGCCAGTGGAGGATCAATGCCTGAGAAAGAAGTGAAACAGCATTTCTATAACCGAGGCAGAAAGCAGTTTTATCGGCCATCTTATACCCCAGAACTCGTCAGTATGCTCGAAGCAATGAATAGGAGAAGTTCCATCAAATATACATTCGCTACTATGGGCAAATGTTTTGTTGAAGAAGAGTTGATCTATCATTCAATCACCAGTTTGTTTACTTAAACCTGTAAATATAGTTTGTGTGTAACCATGTTTCATTATTCTACTCAATCTTGGTCTTTTACTTTCAGTCCTTCAGTCAAGTCTATAATAGCTTTGGAACTAAAAGTCAAGCCACTTAATTTGGGATTCCCATGATTATACCGAGTTCTGGCCCCAATCAAATTTCAAGGCAAATTGGTCAAGGGGCTCAAAAGGTTTGATCGGACATACAAACAAACAGACAAGTAGACAGCGATTACTACTTTATGTAGATATAAAGATTTAGTTGTTTCAGAAAATGAAATATAGGACCTGAGTTCTTGCAACAAACTCTGAACTATGAATTCTGTTAATTTAAAGAATATGAAAAGTAAGCACTGTGGGGTTGCAGAGATAAAGCGACTATAAAAAATATGAGTTTGTGGTAAGAACTCAGTTCTTTCACATCCAATGAATCTTAGAACAAGGAGTAATTTATATAACTGTACCTGGCACACATATCGTCCTGCAGCCCGTCTATCCACACTACCCAGAGTAAGACGATGCGTTCCAGGTTTGACAAGCCCGGAGCGAGGAAGATCTATTTTTAACCCAGAGACAGGAAACGTCAACACCCTGAAAGTTTATCTTTAATATCAACATAGGGAATAAAAGTTTTTTAGTAAACAACAACAAAAAGTAACAGAGCCAGTCTTATACGTTTAGGTATAAACATAAACAGAACTGAACTCTTCGATTTCTCCGAATTTCGTCCATTCCTGCTTTACCACTTTGCATTTATCGGTTTCATTCCTGCTTTACCACTTTTAATTCATCTGTTTCAATCCTGCTTTACAACATTTAATTTATCTGTTTCATTCCTGCTTTACCACTTTTCATTTATCTGTTTCATTCCTGCTTTACCACTTTTAATTTATCTGTTTCAATCCTGCTTTACAACATTTAATTTATCTGTTTCATTCCTGCTTTACCACTTTTCATTTATCTGTTTCATTCCTGCTTTACNGTTGCTACCTCAAAATACATCTATCACCTACTACACCACTCTAAAAGTTGCTACCTCAAAATACATCCATCACCTACTACACCACTCTAAAAGTTGCTACCTCAAAATACATCTATCACCTACTACACCACTCTAAAAGTTGCTACCTCAAAATACATCCATCACCTACTACACCACTCTAAAAGTTGCTACCTCAAAATACATCCAACACTTACTACACCACTCTAAAAGTTGCATGAACCGAGCCGGTTCAACATGTACTGTATGCCTGTATAGTTTGTATGCATGTCCATTCAAAGCTGAAAACTTTAGAATTGGATAAACTCAGGGGGCGGAAACGTCATGTGTGTGTGTCTGTACCAAAAGAGTGTGTGTAAGGAATACCGAACCGAAGGCGTATACTGTAGGTATATACAGTACATAAGAATCTCGGTATTTGTACGGTCTAGGAGAGTACATTTGTTTATTGTTAATTGTTTACAATAAAGCCAAATTTTCATGCAAAGAATATAATTTGATTAAAGTTTACAATAAACTACTCGTTATTCAAGTTTAATTATAATTGACGACATTGTTCTGAAATTTCCTTGATGTAGTCATGTTGTGTGTCTGTACCAAAAGAGTGTGTGTAAGGAATACCAAACTCGTCTGCAAAGTGCGAATGGCTTTCTCACGTCAGACCAGCGCCATTTCCTTTCCCTTTATTCCTATTCCCTGGATACACTTATTCCCGATCGCTTAATCTGAATATCCAATGTACAAACACTTTTAATTTTCTTTATCTGTGATAAATACTTAACATAATTCCAATAAAAGCCTAAGAATTTTTAGCCTCAAATTAAAAAAAATTCCTAATGTAATTTATTCAACAGAGATTCTTTTGGTATTTGTACGTTTTACATAGATTTTAAAGCAAATAACGTGCAGCAAAATATTGGACAATGGTGAACATGCCAAGTATCCGTCCAAGGAGGCCCGTAGTTAGAATTTGCGAGAGGGGGGGAGGGGTCACAAAGTTAATAAAGTGCTTGGGTGCATATTAAATTGACAAATCATTTATTGCAGACAAATTTTTAAATATTTGAAAAAATATTACTTGTAACGTACATTCTATTGGTAAAATAATAGTCTTAATTTCCCAGTTTTTTAAAGTTTTTTTTTTTAAATTTTTGTTTCCTTCTTTTAATTTTTTCCTTTCCTTCTTTTTTGACTCAGATAACAGGGGAAAAGTGGTGCACAAAAAAGATTCTTGAAGTCTATAGAAAATGTTTCAGGGGAAATTAAAACTTTGCAGCTACAGTCTGGAAAACGGAAATGAAACGGAATAAAGCTTTATCACTATTGTTTTAATATTTCAACCAAAAGAGATATAATATTTTGCACGAAGTTTTCTTTTTCAGCAAAAAAAATAAAATTTATAATATAAAATTAGCGATCAAACGACCAACTAACATTAATGATCAACTACCGTTAACGACCAACTATTATTAATAATCAACTATAACCGTTAACGATCAATTACCGTTAACGATGAATTTCCGCTGACGATCAATTACCGTTAACGAACAATCAACGTTAACGATCAACGTTCAACCAACTTTTATGACGTAAATATTAACAAACGATAAAAGTCTTAAATAAACGTTAACTAAAAAAACGAAATGAAATTCTTGGACCTATGCTAATTCAAAATTTTGCTTGCAAAAGGTTTGCAGACTAAGATTGCAAAGGTATAGTAATAAGAAAATAAGAATATTAATAAATTAGACCACGCTGAATACTGGTTGCAAAGCCAAGTTATTTACTTTCAAGAAAATGATTTCTTCCAAAAACTAATATTTTCTAATCCCCATATCTTTGTAATCTGACGGTGGACAACTTTGATATTTCAAACTTAGATTATTTGATCTAACAGAATCGATATTTATATATCTAAGGTCTACAAAATTGTGTAAAACAGATATTAGTATTAAAAAATCAGAGTTTGTGGGAAAGACTCAATTTCTGTAGATTACATATATTACAATACATACACTCAACATTAACATGTCTTTCATAGAACCTAGGTTTAAAGTGATGTTCTATGCATAATTTAAGTGGACTGTAAGCGTAATTTCAAGTAGCCCCTCCATGCAAAGATGACAATTCCTGATTTACAACGGTACCCTTGAAACCTAAATCTAATCAAAATGTTGAAGATACCGATTTTTTTCTGATTTGAAAAGTGTTAACTTCTGATAATTTTTACATTGCTATTTTTAAGCAAGAAATGCGCAAGTGACTTTCGCAGAGAACTCTCACATGACAATAAACAGTTAAAAAAAATAAAAACATGAACATCTTATTTATCCTTGATTGGAAAAGCTTTTATAAGGGTACCGTTGTAAATCGGGCATTGCCATCTTTACATGGAGGCTTACTTATATTATATATATTATTGCCATAGAAAAAATGAAACTGTTAAAATTAGTTCCTTCGTTCCTTCAAGTAAAATATTTTAAGTTAGATAAGGATAGGGATTAGAAAATTTGTTGCATAAACTCAAATCCTTTAAAATAAAACATCACTTTTCATTGGGCTTGATTATATCGAAAAAAAAATTTCCTAAAGAACAAAAACAGACAAGTTCTGAGAGGCGCCATCTCTTTATTAAACCAAGTTTGCAGAAACTCATTTCTCACTCAGTTTTAAAACCAATTTAAAGTTAATCTAATGCATTGCTGTGAGATAAAATTGATCAAGATAAAACTTGATTTCAGGTTTAATTAGTTTAAAGCACATTAGCAGGATTCTCAAACATTCTTTTTAATTAAAATTTAACTTTTAATTTATAAATTAATATAATTTTTTTTCTTAAACTTATATGATAAATAAATGTACAATTTGAGGGAACCCGTGGTTTAGAAAAACATTTAATTTCCCGAAAAAGTATTTAAGCAAATCATAGAAACGTCCTTAATATTGGCCAAAAGGTGGATATATAAAATTGATAATAATCAAATTAAGAATGATAATGATAGAACATGGTGATAGAAATATAATAACAAAAATGAAAATAATTCAATTTGATAAAAAAAATTCTTTGATATCAAGATGCTGTCCGACAGAAAACATAACAAACACAAGGAATAATTGCAAAAAATTTCAAAACTGAATTATTTTTTTTATATATAATGGCTTATGTTTAGTTTAGTACTCTTCAGCCATATTTTGTGTTTTTAACTGATTTACTTTTTAGAACTTTTTCTTTCTTTCTCTCTCTCTCGGCAGGTTTCTTGTATTTATTTATTTTCTTCATTTCATCTTAGTGAAAGGTGAACTTTTCCAGATGAAGTCGTTGTAAAAGTTAGATTAGGTCGAGGTGGGGGGGGGGGGGGGGGGGGGGTAGATGGACCGGACATGATATTCGCTTTAGTACTGCAACCTGAGGCCTGAGTGTAGATTTGATCAACATTAATTTTATAAAAATGTTTTTTCTTTTCCTTTTAGGATTTTAGGATCCATCTTGGGACTACTTATAGGGACAGACCGGCTATGTAAGGTATTTAAACTGAGTATACAGTGTTGTAGAAAAATTCTTAGGATTCATTTTAGACATATTAAACCTTTCCACGATGTATAATTACTGAGTTTGAGCGCAAAGTCGACGTTCAAAATCATGAGTTTGGGTGGGTACGTTTTCAGAATCGGTATTTTTTAATTATTAAATAACGACGACGAAAAATATAGTAAAAATTCTTTAGTAAACTAATTAGATGTCTAGGAACATATTTCTCAAAAGAAATTTGTCAATAAATCGAAGTTAGAATTAATTATTTCCTTTTTCATCATTTTATTGAATATCTTATTTTCTATGAATTTGTTCGGAGATTTCGTCAAATTCTTCAAATGTCGTCTTTTTAATAAAAATTCCAGAAAATCTGCAGAAAATCTTTGTGAATAAAGAGAGATTATAGAAACTAATAATTGAATAAGATTACTTATTTTCGATGATAAGAGTTAATTTTTATTTTCTCAACCTGTTCCTAAACAACTAATTAGTTTACTGTAGAATTTTGTTTACATTTTTTGTCGTCGTTATTTAAAAATTAAAAAAAAATATTCTGAAAACGTATCCATCCAAAAGTACGATTTTGAACGTCGACTTTGCGCTCAAACTCAGGATTTATAGATCTTTAAAAGTTTTATATGTCTCAAACAAATCCTAAAGAATTTGTCCACACCACCACATATTCCGTTCAACTACCTTACATAGCCGGTCTGTCCCTTTAAAATTCATGTCAAAGGAAAGATTATCGTCAAACATCAAAAAAAATCTAAGTGAATTAAAAAAAAATCATAAAGTATTATTTTTTAGATTTCATGGAATGACTATAGTACTGTAGACTGTAGACTACAGACTATAGTACTGTAGACTGCATACGGTAGACTGTAGACGGTAGACGGTAGACGATAGACGGTAGAAAATAGACCGTAGACGGTAGACAGTAGACAGTAGACAGTAAACGGTAAACGGTACAGGGTAGATGGTTGATGGTAGACGGTAGATAGTAGACGGTAAATGGTAGACGATAGACGGTAGATGGTGGACGGTAGATGGTAGACGGTATATGGTAGACGGTAGCGGGTAGACGATAGACGTTAGACAGTAGATTGTAGATGGTAGATAGTAGATGTCAGTAGATGGCAGAAGGTAGACGGTATACGATAGACGTTAGACAGTAGACTGTAGATGGTAGAGGGTAGATAGTAGACGGTAGATGGTAGGCGGTAGACGCTACACAATAGACAGTAGACGGTAGATGGTTGACGGTAGACAGTAGATGGTTGACAGTAGACAGTTTACCATAGACGGTAGACGGTAGATGGTAGATGGTATACAGTAGACGTAGACAGTAATCCTCATCTTAAAGTTTCATCTTAGTTTCTTCTAGTTCTCTTGCGCGTCTGTCCTTAGATGAATTGAAGAGATCTATGATTTAATCCTTGATTCCTGGTTATAATGGGTGTTTGCTTATCTTTGGCTTTAATTCTGTAATTAGATGCATACATAATTACTTTGAACTTCAGGAGCATTCATTCAATTAAACTGAATGAGTGGAGTTGACTGTTTACAGATCAGAAGATATATTATAAGAATTATAAAAATAATATTAGATTAAATTTAAATAATAAAAAACTTAAATAGGGATATGAACAGTATACAAGGATACAATATGTATAGAAGGATATATTTGTAAGAATATATATATATATATAATATATATAAGAATATAAAAAGGATATAATCTGCATATAAAGGTACAATCTGTATACAAGGATACAATCTGTATATATGGATACAATTTGTATAAAGGATACAATCTGTATACTAGAATACAATCTGTTAGAAGGATGGAGAAGGATAGAGAAGAAAAGAGAAGGATGGAGAAGGATGGAGAAGGATGGAAAGGATGGAGAATAATGGCAAAGGATGGAGAAGGATGGAGAAGGATGAAGGAGGATGGAGAAGGATGGAGAAGGATGGAGAAGGATGGAGAAAGACGGAGAAGGATGGAGAAGGAAGGAGTAGGATGGAGAAGGATGGAGAAGGATGAAGGAGGATGGAGAAGGATAAAAAAGGTTGGATAAGTATGGAAAAGTATTTAGCTTGTTTATTGAATAATAATATTGACCTGTCAGTTGTAAGTCCTGGAACAATCCTATATATCTCACTAGAGTTTAGATACCACTTGATGCTGTCTATATACTGACCCGGAGAGGGTCTGTAGCTGCAAGTTAGCTCTGCTCCATCCCCCTCTATCACCACACCTGGATAAATTGTAAATTGTAAATTATTCATATTTGGGAGTATCTAAAGGATTTACTCCATTCAAAGTTCTTTACTTGACTTTTGGCAGATTTTTCTAGAAATCAACAGGATTAAAAAGAATTCGAGAGTATGCTTTTCAGAAAACACTGGAGAACTCCAGATTTTTGAGAACTCTCCAGAAAGTTCTAGAGATAATATTAGAAATAAAAAGGTAAAATTTTAGATAAAACGACAAAATTAAAGATAAAATTATAAAAACATTTAATATATTGAAATCATGCAGTAAAATATACATTTCTCACAAAAATACTTGAATGATTAAAATATAAAATTTTTAAGAAAGAGTAAACGCTGATTGTTAAAGAAAGTATTGCATGACGCAAGGTCGATGGTTCTTAAAAAAGTATGAATAAGACAGGACGTGATTTAGCTCCGGGTGCACAACAGACCTGGGATGGATGGGTTTGTGAGATGGAGACTACTGAGTATCGGTGCATTTGCTCCGACGAGAACCATCATAAAATTCACTTTAAACATTCTCCTGCAATATAAACTTTTTTATTTGAGTTTTAGCTTTTCAGGCGAAACATCGACATTTATATATCTGGACAGGTTCGGAATATATTAATTTAAATTTCCATTACATGAAGTTTAAGAGATTAGGTTTAAATATTTATCAATTTTACAGAACAAATAGATATCTAACATTGACATTCTTTAAAAAGGATATTTTTGAATCTAGAATTAGCAACCAACATTCATCAACATTTTCGCAGCAAAAGAGGTTGCACTAAAGAGAAAGCAGTGATGAGTATTTATTTCTTATCACTCGCTTTTCATATTTTTAAAAATGTACAATAATATGCTTTTGCTTGATAACGAAAAGACTAATATAACGACGAAAAGACTAGTATAACGACGAGAAGCCTTGTATAACGACGAAAAGACTAGTATAACGACGAAAAGACTATTTTAACGACGAAAAGACTAGTATAACGAAGAGAAGCCTTGTATAACGAAGAAAAGACTAGTATAACGACGAAAAGACTATTATAACGAAGAAAAGACTATTATAACGACAAAAAGACTAGTATAACGACGAAAAGACTAGTATAACGACAAGAAGACTAGTATAACGACGAAAAGACTATTATAACGAAGAAATGACTATTATAACGACAAAAAGACTAGTATAACGACGAAAAGACTATTATAACAGAGAAAAGACTATTATAACGACGAAAAGACTAGTATAGCGAAAAAAGACTATTATAACGACGAAAAAGGAAACAACTTATTATTCATAAAATCGTTACATTTTACAAATATTCTTCTTTAATCAATTCCCCTTGTCCAAGCATTTCCTACATGTGGTCCGCCTTTCTTTTAGTTTCAAAAGTACCGGAGATTCTAAATATTTCGTTCACATATAGATAATCTAGGTTTTATTTAAGAAATTAAAACCCTGAACGAATTTATTAATATCCTTGTTATCATTTACCGCACAAAAAACTGCAGAGGTGCAACTAGGGGGGGGGGCGGCCGGGCACGCGCCCTCCCCTAGCACCTGAGAGGGGGGGCGCCCCCCCCTGCAGAATGAAAAAAAAAAGAATGGCGAAAATCAGTATCACAGGAATAAGAAAACCAATAGAGTTATTGTAGAAATTTTATTATACTATAGTTCGTTTTAAAAATATATTTTTATCTTTCTCAATTCTCAAGTCTAAAGGCTATTGTAAACATTTAATGTAAAAAAAAGTTCTGAACTGTATTTTAATTGTGTTGAGTTTATAGAGTAGATATCAAACTTTGAATTCTTTTGGTAAAATATTCCAAGTTTGAAATATCAAATGTTTACACCACTCGGTGCAAAGATTTAGGGATTAGAATATTTGAGTTTGTGGCAAAAACTCAGTTCCAAATCTAGAAAAAATTCTGAACCTGGCAAATTTCTAACTGATTATCATATTTGATAACTAACAAGATTTATCTTCTTTGACAGAAGTTCTATAAAATCGAAAATGAATTTAGATTATGAATGTTGGTTAGATCAATCATTAATTCAATAACTTCAAGAGAAAAGGTAACATTATCTGTCCTTTTTCAATGTAGATGATTGAATTTATTATTTACCTATGTATTTTTATGATTATTTCTTGCAATTTAATCTGTAATTAAACCAGGTACTTAAAAAATACTCTTGCGATTCGCACACATATTCAATAAATTGACTCATATCATTCATTTTACAGCGGTTGGAAGTATAAATTTTGTAAAAACACAAGAACAAAAAATCGATTTGAATTGAACACATTCAAATCTGCATGCAACAACTTAAAATTTCCTTTTTTCGACTTAAAACCCTCAAAAAAGCACTTTTGTTGTTGACAAATTTTCGAAAAGGGGGGAAACCACACCCTAACCCCCCCAGACCATTACAAAATAATATATTGCTCCCCCCCCTAGGAAAAGTCCTAGTTGCGCCTCTGCAAAAAAGTATACCACATTACGGATATACCGGGATCAAGGGACTCGTTTAATTTTTGTTATAAGCAGTTGACAAATCAATGCCGCAAATATTTTTAAAGATTGAAGACGATATTCAGTTTAACTGTCGGGATTTATGGGAAACCCTTTATGTTGACATATTGTTGACAAAACACATCAAATTGTTCAAACAACTATTATATCCTAGATTTAGTTTAAATCTTTTACAAGAACCAACTTTAACTTCAGGAACTTGAATCCCTGAGTTTTATGAGAAGTGACAAACAGAAAACTAAATATAACAAAATAAACAAATGAAAGAACCACAGGGTAATTAGGATACACCAAACCTGTAAAAGCTAATTACTAAAACTGTAAAATGTAAATCCCACTGCCGTCAACTAGTGGATATTGAACGAAAATATCCCCTTTTTGTTTAGTTATCATGAAACTTCAAACAACTTTATAAAACAAAATTGTTACAATTTTTTTTTTTTTTTAAATGGTTAAAGAATTACTTTTCAACTAACTACGGCATTTTCATTGATTAGAAAAACATAATCTCTTAAAGGGAGTGACCGGCTATGTAAGGTAGTTGAACTGAGTATACAGTGTTGTGGAAAGCTTCTTTCGGATTCATTTGAGACATATACAACTTTTTAAAGATCTGTAATTCCTGAGTTTGAGCGATAATTTAATGTTCAAAACTGCTATTTTGGGGGTGGATACGTTTTCAGAATTTTTTTTTTTTAATTATTAAAATTAAATAAAAATTAAAATTGCGTTTTGTTCATAACTCAACCATCTTAATTTTTAAGATTTATCGTTTTTTACTTGTTCATTTAAAATGAATCCGCTGACAAAAAAGGTAAAAAATGTTTGTTTAGATGGTCGAATTGTGATCGAAAGTCTTGCAGCTGGTTGGGAAAAGGACCAAACCATTAAATCTTCCTCTAAAAAGAACACGCTTTTCAGGTTTTTATTACCCTCCCTCTGGAGATAAAAAGAAAAACTTTTGTAAATTGAAAAATAAATGCTTTTGTTTATATTGATGTGGACACTTTACATTTGTTTTATTTTTACATTTATCGTTGCTTCCGTGGGAGTTCTAATAGGATTTATATTCTCCTCCTCTACCCTTCATCTAAACTAAAAAGTAAGTTTTCTCCGACCTCTTTCTATCTAACCTAACACCCTGAGAAACTGTACAAATTCTAACCCTTGGTAAATGCTATATGCCTTAACTTTTATTTGGATTAAATGAATATTTCTCAAAAATGTTAATTCAGAAGTAAGAACTTTGAAGTGTTGTGCAATTCGGGAGTCAAGCATTACTATCTCCAGCTTATGCAGATCTACGGATTTATTTAATTACTTTCGACATCTCATGATCTTCATACCCTACAGGGAAAACATTGATTGAGAGATCAAGCATTGATCCTAAAAATTTTAAACTGCCTATATTGGATATCGAAATCAAGCATTCAAGATTAACAATATCCACTAAAGTTCCGATTTCAGAAGTTTTGTGTTTTGAATTTTGGGATCAGGCACCTGATGAGGACAAAGAGATTAGAATATATATTAGAGTGGAATTTAATAGAAAAAAGTGTAAAACGGCCATTTTGTTGTACTGTTTCCATACTGCAGGTGTACTTCACATATTTATGCTATATAACCTTTTGGGCCCTGGAATATCATTTTATAAAAATCTAAAATTAATGTTAAAAGAAAATCAAATTATGAAATAGGCTGGTTTCATCACTGACCAATTATCATTTCACATAGACTCTATGCCTTTCACTTTACAAACGATTATTTTCCGTTATAACTATAAATCAAATGATGTTATTATTCACCTAATTCATTTTATAATTTTAAAATTTCATTTTAAAAAATTCGAAATTGAAATGTATAGTCAAGGGAACATAATGTATTAATGTTCTCTACTGCATATATTTTGTGAACATTTACATGATTTGTACACTTTGAACTCCCTTTCAGACTGAAAGGGACTGAAAAAATTCATACCGAGGTATTTTCTAAATTCCACTCTAATATATATTCTATTCCCTTTGCCTACGAATTAGTTTAATCCCTCTTCGATATCCTACAGGGATAACTTTTATTTAGGAATCATGTTCTATTTTAACGATACTTTACACAACATTTGTCTCTGCGTATTTAACCCCTCTGGAGTTAGTGTCTCAGTATTTTACACTTGTGAAATTTGTCACTCTTAAGTTTTTTCTTTTCCGAATTATTCCCGTCAACCCTATGTTCTATACAGAGGCAACTTCCAATAATCCCTTAAACATAATCTTGACCAGACCACGATATTGCGGTGTATAATATTCCAAGCAATCTGGTTTCTATCATGACTATAAAAAACTAAAACAAATCCGAATATACAAAATAACTGCAACAAATTCAGGGCTATTGAGAAACAAACAGAGAAAACTCTTTTCTCTGCAAATAATTTGATGAGTAGAAAATCAAATAAAGGTTTGGTCGGGGGGGGGGGATTTTAATACTACAGAGAAAATGGGGAAATGTAAATATTTTCCCTGTATATTGGGAAAAGTATAGGTATAGAGTATCTGAGAGCTTACATAGATCTAGACTGATATGTAAAGTTGCTTCAATATTCAGGACTGGGTCAAATATGAAGTGTCGCCAAGACATGTACAGATCAGAACATCATGGATTTGTTTTTTGCTTTTGTTGGTGAAAACTGAAAAGTAATTCTAATGAATTTTTGCTTGAGAGCTTGCAACCATGGGATCACTGCATGAAAGAGAAATGAAAAGTTTAAAACTATATCTTTATTGTAAATCGAAGGGTGGGGGGGATATTTATAAAAATTCTCTGTTGAAATAAGTATAGAGAGAGGACGCACAACTGAGAAGGCACCATTAAGTAGGCTTTGTCAATACGCACAAAATTGTGACAAATATCGTAGTTTTATTGATCCCTATTAAGATCTCACTGATTCTAATTTGTTGTGGTATTTACCATGCTCTTTCCAAAGTTTCCATAAAAGTTAAGTTAAAA